ACATTGCAGCTGTCTCTTCATAGCCGATCTCGCATAGTTCTCCCACTGATCTGCATGCTCAATTGGGATCATTCGCCTGAGGATGTTGGGAGGAGAACCTAGGTGCAGTACACCCTCAACTGCAATGCCATCATCTCTAAGGCAATTCAGCTCCTCCCAAGCCCTTGCAACCATCTCACTAAATGAAGGCCTATCATTGAATAGCACAGGCACGCTTTGCATGTCAACAAATTCAATATATCCATAGCGATCGTATTCAACGGTGCATTCATGATATATGGTCACTAGATTGTCCATCTAGTTTAAACACATAACAAAACACATGTGCTTTAGTCCAAATTAGATGATAGATAGTACCTAACAAGTACTTTCTAACTACAAACTAAGTAAATAAGATAATAACTACATACATAGATACAGTGTACTAACTAAATAGCTAGGTCCTATTTAGTTAACTAAATATGTAACTACCTATCTAAGTAGCTATCTAACTATACCTATGTATCTATGTTTCTATTTATATACATATATATCTCACTAGATCACTAACTAAATCAACTAACTGAGTCATCACATTAACTAGTAAATAACAAATGCCAAAACTACTACACTACAATCAAAGCTAACTAAGTACGCACATTGTAAATTCACAATTTTTACCTGTCCGACGACGGAGTCATGGATGTAAACAAGTCTTGATGGGACGCCGCGCATGGGTCCTACCAACGCAGCCGGGCCGGTGGTGGCACGACCGGTATGTAGGTGTCCGGGGGCAATGAGGGGCGCGTCCGATGACGGCGGTGGTACATGGCGGGCGCAGGATGCCCGGCGTTCCACGCTGTGAGGCCGGCTCCGCGAGCATGGGCGGACGGCGGTAGCCGAGGGCGGGCGTGTGGGGGTGGCAGTCACAAAGACCGGCCTTGGCGTGGCGCGCCAAGGCGGCCAGAGGGCGCGGGCCGCACGCCGGGCGAGGCGAGGCGTGGGCAATAGCGTGCGTGGGGCGGCGCGGGAACGGCGAGGGACCGGCTCGGCGTGGGCACGGGCACGACGCGGCTGGGCGCCGGCGGCTGGTGCGGCCATGCGGTGTGGCGCAGCGGTGGGGGCGAACGGCGCGCGCGAGGGAGATGGTATTTGGCGTCGGCGGTGATTCGCGCGCTTCAGCGAGGGAAAAGCGAGAGAGAGAGAGGGAGAGGAGAGAAAGGATTGGGGCCCATACGTAAGGCAGGCTCGGCGTCAGTCACCCTGGCGCCAAGCTCGGCACCAAGATCTACGGCGCCGAGCTTCGCTGCCATGTCACCGCCACGTTGGATTCGAGCCCAAGAGCTCGGCGCTAGGGATGCTGGCACCGAGCAGTGTAAGCTCGGTGTCAGCAACGATGGCGCCGAGCTAAGGGTCCAGATTTTGAAATCTTTCCTCCAGGGGTATATTTGTGAAAAATTTTCAAAAAAAGGCCTAAAAATAAAAAATTCGGCGGCGGAAGGCAGGTTGCCGGTTGTCTCTAGCTCGACTTCTCGAGCGAGTAGTAGGCCACCAAAGTCCTTTTTTCTAAATATACAATTTGTTTTAGAGGAAAATTCTAAATATGTAAATGCCATTTTCAGTCAGACTGAAATCGTTATTTTATATTTTTATTATCGATTTGTAAGTCAAAGCTATTTTGACACGACCGTTAATTTCTATGTCGACACTTTTATTACATTATTAATTAATTATATGTCTTTTATCAACAATTTCTATGACCATTTATATGAATGACACTTAAATTAGAGTGGCACACAAAAAGCATATCAATGGCCGATATGTTAAGAGTTTTTTTCAACAACATGCTAGAGTGGACAATAAAAGATCGTTAGGGCCTCTGCAATGTATAGAAGCACTTTTTTTTATCAAAACCAAATTATGGCATTCAATATCTTCTTTTTTTATATAATTGATGATAACCTTACAAAGATACGTAAATAATTGAAATTCCAAGCGAGTACTTCACACAAGCATAAATTGCTAATTTGGTTTGGATTTGTGTTCCTTGTCCAAGCATGAGACCACTTGAAAAAGAAATGGACAAGTCTCACAAATCCTACTTGGTAGTGTTAATTGCCCCCAACATATGTTCTATAAAGGTTTGGTTCCAAGCTTGCAAATATGCTAGATTTGAGTTGTGGGAGAATTAGCACTACTAACTACTAAGTGATGCTAAGGTGTTTGATATAGAATTAAATCTTTGTAGCATGATTACCACTTGGAAACTCCATCCTTAGCATCATGGTTAGCTACTTAGCTAGACAAACACAAACACTGGAAAACTCGTGAGATCTACATTAAAAACAAGTTTCTAGTTATCACTTGACAGACAACAACTACAAACTAAGCTCTAGATACTAATTGAAAACTGGCTCAATTCATCATAACGTCTATGTCTAGCAACCATCACTTACTAAGATACTACTAGAAATACTAACATGCAAATGCAAGCAAGCACATGTTATGCGCATCTTAAATGCAACAAACAATAGCTCATGAGCTCCCCCCTACTTGTGTGCTTCTTCAAATTTTGGTCCCCTTCTATTCTCCAATCTTGTTCTTATGTCCATCATCTTCTATCTTCACAAGATCTTTGTGCCTACTTCTCCCCCTTGGTGATATCTTTGTTCTATTCTCTCCCCCTTTGTCATTAATTACCACAAAGAGTGATACCACTTGAGATATATGTTTGAAATCTTGGGGTAGACACTACACTTTTGATGGAGACAATCACTTAAAGTTGAGAATCACTTCAAATCTTCTACTTTGATTGTTTATACGAGCTTCATTCTCATTGGCTTGAACTAGTTGATTTGCATAAGCTTCAAACTCGTGTTGAACCATCTTCAAGCTTCTTCACGTGCCATGAGCGATTATATTGTTGAGGTTGAATTTGTCACTTGTATAGCTCATCGACTTGATTCAAACACTTGGGTGGCTCATGAATAATTCATATGCTACCACTAGAAGCATGCAAACATAGAGGCAATAGTGGTAGAACGTGAACTTAAACTCATTTATTTTCACATGTATGTCCTTAATAAGCTCACAAATATGCGCGGTCAACAAAATTCTTCTACGCACAATAATAATGCAAGCGATTTGGGTTCACGGGTGACGACCTCTCTCATCACCATCTACATCATTCACATGCCGGTGATTAGATACAGTACTCTCAAGTAATAAGTAATATAAAACTAATGGGCATGGCTGGTCACAGACACAGCAGGGATGGTATATGGCCAGTGAATGATTCTCTTGCTTTCAGGCGAGCGTACTGTCCCGTGTCGCATCCGCAAACTAATAGGGAGGCCGGCAGGCAGATTGATGGCCGGCACAAGGGTACGTAGCGCTAGATCCTCACATGCATGCACCGGCCTTATATATATATATATATATATATATATATATAAGGGAATGATATATTTCAACTAGTGTACTGTTGACCTTCTTATTGGTTGAGCTTTAATTTTAACGTCTTGGCGTTTTTGTTACATGCTTCCTCTTGAAATGGAAAAGAAGGCGCTATATATAAAACTCTTTATTTAGTTTGACAGCAAGACGTTAAAATTAAAGCTCAACCAATAAAAAGGTCAACAGTACACTAGTTGAAATATATCATTCCCTTCTGTGTTCAAAAATAAATATAGGTGTCTTAGTTTTTGTTCTAAGACAAAACTTCTATTAATACATTTTATTAAACTATGTCCATGTAAAAATATGGTGTTAAACATCAAATTAGTTTCATTAAATCCATCATAAAATATATTTTACAATGTATTTATCATATTATTTAATGTTGTAGATATTAATATATTTTGTTATAAATTTGATCAGAGTTTGAAAATTTATCTTAAAACAAAACTAAAATTACGGAGAACAGAGAGAATAAGTGTATTATATATCTGCAAACCAAAAGACACACCACAAGTAGTCTGGAGGTTTTCGCTGAATGTTTCTACTGAGCTGTGCTCAGTCACCCTGGATGTCGTCTGTTACATCAGGGCGTCTTTTCTGTTTCTTTCTGTAATCTTCTGAATGCTGTGTATTTCTGTTAGCTCAGATGGAAATGGGGTTTCCCGCGTGGAAAAAAGAAAAAAAAAGTAGTTCAATTTCATATCAAATTCTTATATTCTTCCTCTAACAAATCCTGCCGCCACCCACCATTTCACCATCTCGTGAAGAACTAGAAGCTTCTCATATGACATATATATACATGTACGTTCCCGTCACTGAATTTATTGGCAGCAGTAAACTAATCGAGATGCCAGTTAAAAACTACCGTACCTTTCGTTTTGACGTGACAGTCTCAGTGAGTCAAAGAATCCTCTGATGGTTGAGATGTTACCTACACACATGTGAACTGTGAAGTGGCATAAAACATATAATCCAAGTTAACAATCATAAGGTATTCATATACAGACGAAATTAACCATTAATCGAGGCTTAGGCAAAGCTACTACTAGTATATAGCATGTCCTTTTCATTTGGTGCAAAAATGGGCATCTAGCGATCCATGCCATTTGGTGCACAAAATATGCTATCGACGATGCGAGGACGACGACGCAGCTTTTCAGCGAACCCTAAATCTTCCTCTAACTCCTACCGCAAGTTCGATCTATCGCTACTACCTAATGCAATCTTTTCCCATCACGTCATCATAGAGAAAGAGATTCTCATCCATTCATGGAACAAGCTAAAAAAAAGGTTTAAGCATCGACTGGAAATCAGCTGGAGCATGCATGGAGTACTATACTCCGGATGGGAGCAGGTATCTCACTTGTCACATGATGCATGGCTGCATCGATCATTGGCTCATTGCAGGCTGATGAAGCTAGACTCTCACACACAAAAGACCACACGAGTACACGAAGCGACCGCAGCTCATGACGTATATATAGCGTCTTCATTTCCCTCTCGGCAAGAGCTTAGATCCCTAGCTAGCAGAGCGAGCATGATATAAGCTGGCATTATATGCAATGCCGCCGGCGACAAGCACGCGGCCGCAGTTGCGCCGTCCGGTGCCGTTGCTGACGACGGTCGTTTCCGTGGCGTTCCTGTCACTCCTGTGCTTCCTTGTCGCTGCTGATGCAAGCAGATCGCTGCACTACCACCGGAAGCATAGGAGGAGGCATCACCACGGGCACCACCGCGCGGAGAACTACAGCCACATCTGCATGCCCCCTGTAGCGCCCCCTCCTGACGTTGATGGCGATTCTCCGGTCGAATCGTCGGCATTGCCTCCGGACGTTGGCGGCGCGCTGCCGCCGTGGTCCTGCCACGACAAGCCGTGCCCGCTTCCGCGTAGCCCGTTAAAGGCACCGGCAGGCGCGCCAAGTACGACGCCCACTTCATCAGCCAAGCCTTCCCCTTTCTCCTTGGCCAATCCGCCGTCGCCCGCGCCAGCCACTGCACCATCTCATTCTCCTCCGAATCCACTGTCGTCGCACCACCCGGTTCAGCCGCCCACACTTCCTCCCGCCAAGACGCCGTCCTTGTCCCCGTCCAAGCCACCGGCTTCTTCATTGGCCAAGCCACCGTCGCCGGCGCCGGCGCCGGACATCGTACCATCTCATTCTCATGCCAAGCCGCCGCGCGTGCTTCCAGACGCCAAGCCACCGTCGTCGTATGCGGCCAGGCCACCGTCACAGCCACCAAAAAGGGCGCTGGCACCATCGCCGTTCTCCCCTTCCAAGCCACCGTCGTGGTCACCCTCTCATGCCAAACCGCCACCGTGTACTCTGGCTAAGCCACCGCAGGCCCAGACACCAAGACTCGGCCCTGCCAAGCCACCAATGCGATCGCCAGCCCATCCACCGAAGGTGTCCCCAGCAAGTGCACCGGCGCACCCACCGGCCGAGCCGCCAAAGACAGCTCCTGCCAGGGCGCCGGGTTTCTCTTTCTCCCATGCCAAGCCACAGCCACCAGTGGCTTCGACGGTGAAGCCACCACGACTCGCCCCGGCCAAGCCTCCAGCGCCATCGCCATCGCCAGCCCAGCCACCGCGGTGTTCCACCGCAAATCCGCCAGTAGCTCCTACTGTGTCAGCGAAGCCACCGGCGCACCCTCCTGCCGCGTCAAAGTCAATTCCGCCGCCGCCCCCGCCGCTCCCACCACCACCGGCATCCACGAACAGCTCATCATCGTGGGGCAACGTGTTCGACGTGAGGGCGTTCGGGGGGTCGGGCAACGGCTCAGGAAACGACACGCGCGCGTTCCGCGCGGCGTGGAAGGCGGCGTGCTCGTCCAACTCCACCACGGCCACGCTTCTGGTGCCATCGGACGGCGTGTTCACCATCAGCTCCACCATCTTCGCCGGGCCGTGCAAGTCCGCTCTGACCTTCCAGGTAAGTTAATTTGAGCTGCCTCTTCAAAATCATTGACCCAAGCCAAGGCGGCAAGGCCCAATTTTCACCCTACCGTGACTGTGAATCGCGTCGCTGCAGATCGACGGCGTGCTGATGCCGCCGGACGGGCCGGCGAGCTGGCCGGCGTCTGACAGCCGGAAACAGTGGATAGTTTTCTACAAGGCCGACGGCATGACGCTGGCGGGGGAAGGCACCATCGAAGGCAACGGGGAGGAGTGGTGGGACCTCCCGTGCAAGCCTCACCGGGTACGTGTACGTGGCTCGCTTCTCTCTCGCGGGGTCACCTTGTCATGGCGTTTACCTGGACCAAACATGTGTGACGTTCGTGTCTATGTTCGCGGTTCAGGGCCCCAACGGATCGACGCTGCCCGGGCCATGCGACAGCCCTGCAGTAAGCTAGCTCGCCGACCACATGGATTTCACTCTGTTCTTTGTCCATGTCCTTGGCCTCACTCTCTTCGTGGTATCTGCAGCTGCTACGATTCTTCTTGAGCAACGACGTGGCGGTCCGCGGCCTGCGAATCGAGAACAGCCCGCAGTTCCACCTCAAGTTCGACGACTGCGAGCGGGTGCGCGTCGACGGCCTCTTCGTCAGCTCGCCGGCGTTCAGCCCCAACACGGACGGCGTCCACGTCGAGAACACCACGTCTTTCCAGATCCTCAACTCCAGGATCTACAACGGCGACGACTGTGTCTCCATCGGCGCCGGCTGCTCCGACGTCCACATCGAGAACATAACATGCGGCCACGGCCATGGCATAAGGTAAACTTGTCAGCGTGCACCTGTGCCGGTTTTGTTTCTAATGTGTCAGCTGACGCGGCAAGCTCGTGATGGCGCCCACGCAGCATCGGCAGCCTGGGCGTGCACAACACGCGCGCCTGCGTGTCCAACATCACGGTCCGGAACGCGCGGATCCTCGACTCCGACAACGGCGTCCGGATCAAGACCTGGCAGGGCGGCACAGGCGCGGTGTCGGCGGTCGAGTTCGCCGGCGTGCAGATGCAGAACGTAAAGAACTGCATCGTCATCGACCAGTACTACTGCCTCGGAAGCGGGTGCGCCAACCAGACCTCCGCGGTGCGCGTGGCCGGCGTCACGTACCGGGACATCCGCGGCACGTACAACCCGCAGGCCGGCGCGCCCATCCGCCTCGCGTGCAGCGACGCCGTCGCCTGCACGGACATCACCATGTCCGGCGTCGAGCTGCTGCCGGCCAGCGGCGGAGTAGGAGGACGCGCAGGAGCGCTGCTTGCGGACCCCTACTGCTGGAACGCGTACGGGGTGATGGAGACGCTCACGCTGCCTCCTGTGTACTGCTTGCAGGAAGGCCGCCCGGAGTCTCTGCAAGATCAGCTCACCGGTTGCTGAGATGACACTTTTTTTTTTTCTTTTATGTATACAAATTGTAACGTCTCAACACGCACACTCGATTAGAAAAAGAAAATGCATAAATTCTTTAACCGTCATTATGCTCCACGGGTAGATCTGATCTGTTTATCGACTCGATAGCCTCAAATATTTTCTCCTCTTCAGGAGGTATATTATTCGAATTTTTAACCACAGGACCATTTTAACTTGCTACTGCTTGTATTCAAGAATAGATAGTAAACGCTGTTTCATTCCGTCTCCGCTTAGAAAAGGTCAAGCGGATACTGTCGGTATTGCCTTTCGTCATATCAAACATGTGTCTTACCAGCAGCGGCAAAACCAATGACCGAAAAGTGCTTATTATCAGGTTTTAGCTTGTTAGATATGTAGGCACAATTTAATCTAAGAAATTAATAAAAGATTTGTAACATCATACATGTGCTTGTGTGACCTACTCACAATTGCAATGGTGATGACAAATATACTAAAACATAGGAACACAAACAGTACCAAGAATGGGTGACAAGGCAGATTGGTTATTGTGTTGCCTTAATAATTCGGTAATGCTTAGGAACGGGCATACATCAGTCCAGGCGTCGCTTTCCGGGCCTGCGCGCTACCGGCCCAACAGGCCTGCTTCCTCTCCGTGTCTCTCCATCTCTCTCAAAAATATCTTTCCACACCTGTGCTCGCCCATCGCGTGTAGTTGCGCTGTGCGCTCGCTGCTGCCGTCTTCCCCGCCGTGCACCCCATCTCGCGTCATGCGGCTCTCCAATCCAGCGCCGCGCTCCCATCCCACACCGCGCCCGCTCTAGCTCGTTGTGCGCCGTGCCCCCACTGCTGCGCGCCGTGTCCTGCCCCCACGCGCGCCGAGGTGCCGCCGCCGCCGTTCCCAACCAGAAGGTCGTGGCCACCATGACGCACGACCTCCGCAAGGAGATGTTGCGATAAAAGCGCACGTTGCAAAGATATATTTCAAGTGTTTCAGATGTTTCAAAGATATGTTGCAATTGTTTTATATGGATGTTGCAAAAGTAGATTGGGACGTTGCACATGTTGCAAGTGTTTCAGAGGCATGTTGCAAGTGTTTCAGAGGTGTTGTTCACAACATTTCATATGTTCCTGTAGGATCTCTGGTTGGCCTAGATGGAGGGGTGAATAGGCCGGTCAAAACAAACACTTAAACTTTTATCAAATTTACCCTGCGGCACTGCCGCTCTGGAGGGTGGCACTGTTGGACCAGAACAGCGGCACTGCCGCACCTACAGACAACTTTGAGTCACAGTTCAAAATCTGTGAACGAAAACTTAGATCGGAGAAATTTCCTAGCTTACTGCAGGTATGACAATCACAAATCAAGAGTTAGAAGTGGTAGAAACACCACACACAAGTAGATCGACTAAAAACCCTAGAAATCACATCAACCATAATATGTCATGCAAGTAATGTAAATTAAGCACAAGTGACACAATGATTTATCCCGTGGTTCGGCTCGCCATCAAGGCTTGCCTACCTCCACGTTGTTGAGGTTAGCCACTAAGGCTTAGAGTTTTCCAGCTTTTCCTTGTTCTCAAGCCAAGAGACTTAACTCTTGAGATAAGGGGTGAGTTTACTAGCTTCAAGAGATGGTTACAAACCTCCCGGGGCTGCCACATAAGTTGGCAAGCTCCATGGGCGACGCTCTAGCCGGCTAGGAGCCAAGCTCCAAGAGTAACAAACACAACTGTCGGTCAAAACATGAACCAAGTACTCTTTAGAGTTGGAAAATCAATGGAGCTGCTCTCTAATCGAGTTTGGGACCCTTTTTCCTCAAGGATTGATGGAGAAATCAATGGATTTGCTTTAGGGCTTAAGGTCAACAATGGAGGGAGAGAGAGAGAGAGCTCCTGCTCTGCTTTGGACGTGCTCAAGTGAGGAAGAAGAGGCAGGTGACCATTAGGAAGGAAGGGGAAAGGTATATATGTACCCCTAGCCCCCAACGGTCACTTAAATCGCAGATAGTCGTTGGGGAGGAAAGGGAAAGGTATATATATACCCCCAGCCCTCAACGATCACCGCACTCAAGGGGTCGGGAGAGATGAAGCCTGTGGCCTCGAGGTCAGGCGAGACGGAGCCCGCGACCTTGGGGTCGGGCGAGACGGATCCCACGACCTTGGGGTCGAGAGAGATGGATCTCGCGACCTTGGGGTCGGGCGAGATGGATCATGTGACCTTGGGGTCGGGTGAGACGGAGCCCGCACCAAGGGGTCGGGCGAGACGGATCACGCTACCTTGGGGTCGGGCGAGACGGAGCCCGCACCAAGGGGTTGGGCGAGACGGATCCCGTGACCTTGGGGTCGGGCGAGACGGATCCTGCACCCAAGGGGTCAGGCCAGAACATTTAATACGTCTTGAGCCATCCGAGAAAGTCAGCCTGGGCGCTAACTTCCTTGTGGCGTGACTCAAGTGTGTCAGTGCCTCTCTTCAAGTGCGACAGTGCCGCACGACGCAAGACAACAAGGGTAATAGTGAAGTAGGGACTATCTTGGCTATGAATCTGAGGATGCTTGTGGTTGTTTGAGCACTTGGTAGCATATATTAGCTTAAGCATTGTGTCCCCCTTTATAGTACGGCTTTTCCTATACTCAAATTCAAGATATAAAAGAATCTTAAACCTCTTTTGAGTTTGAAGCCATCTATATTTGTAATTAGGGGCTCCTCCGTTTTGTGTAGCATCCACGAATATAAATTCCCCGCTTGTCATCTTGATAAATCTCATTAGTTCTCTAATTACGTGGTCATTATCCCCAAAACCCACAATTAAGGCTTGATTACACTTTCAATTCCCTCTTTTTGGTGATTGATGACAACTCAATTAGAGCTTACAGAAGATACGAAATAAACACTAAGACTTTTCGAGCCATGGGTGCAGAGCCTCCCCCTAAATATGTGAATGAAGAATTGAATTCTCAAATTCGCATAAGAAGCCAAGATTCACATTTTAGTGAAAGTGTTGGGGCTCCCCCTACATCCATGCTCCTGTGGGGTGCTGCATACTGTGTCAGGTACGTAAAACGTGATGCAAATGACAGTTTATGCACAACATGGTTTGCTGTTGCAGCTGGGTGCGGCACTTCCGCACTTGCTGTAACAACACAGATTAGAACAGACACCACACAGCATGTGATACATATAAAGATATACAATCTAGCACAAATGTATCATAAGTGACAGCATAGATTAATATATGTCCATATCCCACACATATATAAAGTACTTAAGTAGCATTATTACATAAATAGAGTTTCTAATGAACTCTCAAACTCTCACCTAATGAAGACTATTCTAAATGGATACGCAACAACCTCCATGGCATCAAAAAAGTTGTTGACCCCTCTAATTTTCTCTCCCTTTGGCATAAAGCACCAAAAAGAGAAGAAAAGAAGAAATATCAACACCTACTCGTCATCTCCCTAGATGTTCGTCTAATCAATATCATCACCTCCTGCAGCCCTAGCACCTCCTGCAGCAGTTTCGGCACCACCATCACCATCATTGTCGTCGGAGTCAATACGTGCATGGCCCTGACGGTGAGTAGTGGCGGTGTAGCGAGTGGAACGCCTCGGCTCCTATCTTTGACGGTATCCCTCCAGGGTCTCATCCCAATCTACTGCTCGTCCCTGCTGCTCCTCCGCACCATCTGAATCTGTGTCTGAGATACTCGAAAGGTCATACTATGGAGGAGGTGGAATAGGAGGAAGTGGTGGAAGGTCCTATCCACGCTGCTGATGGTGCTCAAGTTGTGTCTCATACGCTCTGTTAGCTGCATAGGTGCACTTGCCGAAGACTGCCTTCAACCACTTTCCAAACTTCTTCATCATGCCTCCTCTACGAGACCTAGGGCGGGAAGATTCAGGGATGTCTACATGAGCATGAGAGCTCCCCACTCCCTGAGTAGCTGCAGCTGGCTAGGTCTTCTTAAATTTGTAGATGGTGTGCATCCCATCCTTCGGAAAATAAAATTCAGTGACCCTCTCAATCATGAACATGAGGTAAGGGGCATAGGGAAGCCCCCTCCTCCCATCCTCCACTACAAATCTCAACTCAGCCCATATGAATCTAGGGACATTTAACCTATCCCCACCTGGAGCAAATCTAGCCAACATATTTCTCACATAGCCATTAATATCTGAGGCTGCTCCATCCTTTGGGTTGATAATGTTCCTGATGAGGTTGTTGAGGATGTAATAGAAGCTATGTAGACCACTCTTCTTGCCATTTGCAATCCTTCTATCTTTTCACATGTAACTAATGTCATGGATCTCAACTTGAGGCTCATCATAAATGTAAGTGTAACCTCTGTGCTCCTCCGCAAAGCCAAGAATCCGGCTGAAAGTGACAAAGTCAACTCGGTAGTGCCGACCATCAGTCATCCAGTGAATCTCATCAGAGGTTTGGTCATAGAAGTATGTGGAATGAAACTATGCAAGGACCTCCTCATTCCAGTTATACTGGAAACCCATGATGTCTAAAAGTTGGAACCTGTCACAAATTTTGATTACCTTGTCAAACTTAGGCTCCTCCTTCTCCTGCATGTCATCCCAATCAATGTACTACATCTTGATGATCTTGGTTTTCTTGGATGCAAGAATGGTAGTGGCATAAAAGTTGGAATGAAACTCATTTCACAATCTGTAATTAATGCCCAAATCCTTGCGCACTGCATAGGGATTGATCCCCCTTGCCTATTCCACCAGTTTTCAACTCTTAGAATAGTTGACAACTGCATGCTGGCGGGAGTCATTTGGAGGTCTCTTGATGATCTCACCCTCAAAATCTCTTATGTATCTACCATCAAACTCAGAGAGATGCTGTGGGGTGTCAGGAATGGCATCAGTGGTACAACCTATCATCTCCAGCCTCTCCTCATCTTCAATGTATTGCTCGCGCCTCCCCCTGTCACCAAGTCCCCTTGGAGCTACACTACTACCTGCTGCTGTTGACCTCCCTTGACCACGGTG